ATGCGCAAAACAGCTGGTGGTCGACTGCGCATCACAATGACGCTGTAAATCAAGTATAAGTGTTTGGTTATCCGAAAATCTAATCATAACGGAATCGGATTACGGGTACGCCGAAATGGCCAGTTCACAATCAGTTGCCTTTCCATAAAAATGCCATAGGAGTAGAGTAGAGGAGGTTTCGGTAAACCCTTAACATTAGAGAACCAAAACAGGCAAAAGCACGTGCACATGAATGGGTTCAGCAAGCGAACGTGCCAAAGGCAAGACCATGAGCTCGAGATAAAGATGACCAATAAATCGGATAAAAACTGAGATAGGCGATGCAAGGAGACGCAAAACTGCCCAAGACTAAAGCACGTAGCCACTTGCATACGATGAAATGCTCGATTAGCAGAGCGAGCAAGCACCAGAACAACATCAGGGAGAAAAGTGCAAATCTCACGAACTAGGCACGAACTCGTTTGGTGACGAAGAGGCGATGTTCACAAGTGCGCATTTCGAAATTGACGCCTCTTCCGACAGCCGTGCAGCAGGACAGTGCATACGATCGTTTGGATTGATTATCACAGCAAAATTAGGTATGAAAACTGTAGTATCAAAGCGATCCCATGGCTAGAATTCCAGGTGTACTAAGATATTCAAGACGTAATGTTGCTAGATGGAGCAAACTCTAACATAGTCTAAACTCCCACAAACTCGAAGTGATTTCCATGTCAAGAGCTAACAGACCATTCGAAGTTCCTCCTCCTTGGCTGCAACAATCTCCTCCTGTCGTGTAACACTAAGAAGAGGCCGAACTTTGGTGAAGAGACGCCACCATGGCCAATTACGAAGCTTCAAGTACGCCACGCAGTTACGCTGAATGATACGAATCGCCTGGATATCCTGGATACGCTGCTGAACCGCCCTATAAAGTGAAAGACATCAGGCTAAAAGCATTCTTTAAAGGACTGAATTGATAACAGCTTATTTCTCCAGAGGTATCCACAGCAAGGAGTCAACAAGAGTAGGGTTTCCAACTGGACTCACTTCTTCGCAAGATAGCAACGACAATGAGCCTGGAAGTTGATCATGATCGCCGTCAAACGAAGATCACGATCCTCTTCAAGTTGAGCGAGAACACCTGCCTTGAAAAAGATTTTGCTTTGTCCGATACGATATAGTTCAGGACTAAGTTCCAAACGCTGCACCATCAATTCGGCAGCTTTGCGACCGTCCATGTAACCCTAAAAGACAAACAAGAGCATTCAGGAGCATTATAATGCATTTAATAGTTTCAAATTCCAGTTCTATGCGAGTTGATGCTGTGTATCCTAATTCAAACCGACAATCAAACGTTTTCTTCTTTTCAAGTTTCAGGCTTCTTGAACATAAATACCATTGACAGGCAGCAAAAAGTGCACCATTTCATGAAGGCTCTTCTGGTGTTTAAGAATGCGATCAAAATGTAATTTCTCGTTTAGATGACCTAGAAAACAAAAACTTTAAAGTAGATTTCTCAAAGATGAAAACAAAGGTAATGTAAGTCACATCAGAAAGTTAAATTAACTCATTTAGCCAGTATACACAAATCCAGATATCGCATTAATTGTTGGAAGAAGAAATGAATGGCGAGGAGGTGCATGTGTGAGATTCTATGGATGGAACCTGAAAACGATACTTGAAATTATTGTGGTCGCATCTGGTAGTACCGCTTTGTTCTACCTTGGAAATAAGGTCCGGTGTCAGGATTTCGTAGCGCTGGCGGAATTCTTGAAATGGTACTCTAGAGGGAAAGCCCTGTCGGCAGATACGAATACCCTCAAGGACTCCATTGCATTTGAGCTGGTCAAGGACTAGTGGCACGTCG